ATGCTTATGCCAACCTTCTAGAGATGTAGTTAAATCTACGTAGTGACTATGCGCAGGTAAGTTTTCACCTGAAATCGTTTTACTTCCACCTGTTTCCTTTGAAGAGTTTGCACAATACAAAAACCTGTCGACTATTTGAGTCCAAGTTCCAAAACCAAGTACTACTTCTGGTTTGGTAGAGTTCATTGAAACATACAATGAGCCAACCGGGTAAATAAGATTCGGCAAAATTTGTTTAAGCACATTGAGTTCCTGTCTTAGATGTATAATACTATTGTCATTAGATATCAAAGTATCTACAAGACTTGTTGCCGGTGGTATTGTTGGAGCTTTACTTGGCAAGGTTGTGTTTAGTGTAATATCATCTGCTGTAAAAGTTGTAAAACTTGTATGTGTATGTCCAACGTCACTTTTCCTGTTTAAGGTTTCTTGTAAGTTTGTAATATTTGCAATGGTATGTGTATGTCCAACGTCACTTTTCCTGTTTAAGGTTTCTTGTAAGTTTGTAATATTTGCAATGGTATGTGTATGTCCAACGTCACTTTTACTGTTTAAGGTTTCTTGTAAGTTTGTAATATTTGCAATGGTATGTGTATGTCCAACGTCACTTTTACTGTTTAAGGTTTCTTGTAAGTTTGTAATATTTGCAATGGTATGTGTATGTCCAACGTCACTTTTCCTGTTTAAGGTTTCTTGTAAGTTTGTAATATTTGCAATGGTATGTGTATGAGTCTTTTTAGAATATTCTTTGTCAGCTCTTGTCACTTCACTTGACATTTTATTGTCAACATATGTTTTGTCCGCTAGTTCAGGATGAGTATGTTCTTTTGTTGCATATGTTGCATCTGCTCTGTCATGTTCTTCTTGAACTTTTTCAATGACATACTCTTTGTCAGCTTTGTTGTCAACATCTGCTTTCGTTGCATATGTTGCATCTGCTCTGTCATGTTCTTCTTGAACTTTTTCAATGACATACTCTTTGTCAGCTTTGTTGCCAACATCTGCTTTCAAAAGAAGTTCATCTATAGGTTTCTCGTTTAAAGTTCCTTTTGTTGGATTTACACAGACAGTATGGTTCTTATTGTCTTGAAACAGAAACTCGTCTGTCATTGGGTTTATCGTCAGTTTTAAGTTTCCTTCTTTCAATGACTCAGATATCTTAGAATAGTTTGAAAAGTTTGTTGTGTTCTTATTTAGAGCTTGCAAAATGAGTTGTCGGTTGTGTTTTATTTCTCTCATAGACGCTGTTTCATTTGACATTTTTATTCTAGATAAAATATGCTTTCAATAGAAAAAGAAAATTCTAGAGTTGCTACAACTAAACCATTAGATGAACTTTTTACGAATGTCGGTCAAAAGTTTGAGACAGAGACCGTAAAGCATGAAGGCTATCGTTTTGACTACCCGTTAAGATGGCTAAGAGACCCATCCGTCACAAAAGCTATTGGCTTTCGTAGAATGAAGTTCATTTCAGAAGCCATACATGGTTTCCCATTTACGGTCGCTTTTGAAGTTCGATACTATAACAAAGAAAAACGTACGTATGAGAAATTTGAACAGGGAAAACTTTTACAAGTTAGTTTGCTTGTAAACTTAGAAACAACTCTTCAAGCTTTTCAAGAAAAAATAAACGATATCTATCTCGAATATGCAAAACAGTACAACATTGACGAAGGAGAGTACCATCTCGATATTATATATGACAGGAAAAATGCAACTGTTAAAATCAATAGAATAGAAGACCTTGGAGAAGACGTTTATATTTCTACAAAATATAACAACTTGGCATGGTATAGATTTTTGAGGATGTTAAATCAGCCTGCAGAATATCCAGTACACCCGAACTTTTATGAAGTCGAAAACCCTAATGGAACATATGAAAATGTTTTCGACTCAGATGCTATTATAGTTCATGCTTCATTTTCTGGTGCACAAAACTCTTTTTTATGCTTGGCAAATGACTTTTACGAAAAACCTACAAAGCTATACGAACCACCGAGTGGAAGTATTTCGGATTTTCAAGTATGGTTTACTACAGATGGAAGAAAGAGAATAATTCCATTATACCACGCGTTTTACTTAGAACTTAGTTTCATATACAACTACTATCGAACGGTAAAAATATGATTTTTTAATACGGTTGAGGTGTTGGATTTGGTTGCCAACTAGACTGTGGTGCAGGTTCAGGCTGTTGTATAACAGGAGCTTGCTCTTCTGGTTCAGGGTCTTTAGGTATAATACCAACGAACTGACCTACTCTTTTGCCAATATTTTTGACTCCGTTCCAAATTCCTCTTCCGACGGTTTTTATTCCATTCCATATACCTCTTCCAACATTTCGAAAGAAGTTTCCTATTCTTCCAAAGAAACCCATTTTACTATATGTAAAAATCTAATGTCCGCCTAGTCTCTTACGTTTCCTGTTGAGTTCCATAGCATTCTTTAACTGGAGCTCATACATTCTGTTTCTCCTCTGGTAGAAAACATACTCTGGGTCAACTCCTGTGTTCGCGTCATCTGCATAAAGTTGTTTATATCCCACTTCAGGGTTTGTATAAAACTCTTTCCATCTCATATTTGCATACCATGGTGGCAAACCTAACGCAGCGTCATTTGACATGGCAGTTTGCATTTGTACATCTGTTGGCACTTGACCATAGTTTGCCATTGCAGTTTGTATTCTAACTTCATTTGGAATATTCTCTGGGTTTGGTTGTCCAGGTTGCTGTGCATTCGCTAAGTTCTGTGCGTCCATTTAATATTAGATAAAAATATCTCTTACGAGTACATATGCTGAACATTTGCTGGTATTGGTTCATCTTCATATTCTCTATATCTTTCTGCCACGTCAAATAAGTAAATGACACAATGGAAAAAACCTAAAACAAGTAGTCCTATTTCAAACCACATTTACTTACCAATAAAATTTCTTTGTTATGACACTTTTTTCCGGTTTATAGGACCTCTCTCATATTCTATCTTATCGTATCTAAACTCATAGTCATGTATGTCCTCTAACCATCTCATGACACTTTCCAAACCACTTTTATCGGATGTAAAGTAAAAGCATGGATGGTTATGTAAAACGTCTAAAGTTTCTAAAGAGTCTCTCAAAGTCCAGTCTACTTGGTATTGAAAATCCCATGTGTTATAGAACGGCGGGTCCACTATAAAGAAAACATTTTCCTTGTCTTTATATTTTTCATACAACTCTGTCCAATGACATCTCACAAACTCTATACCCTCAATATATTTTTCTATGTCCTCTTTGAAAACATTTGTATAGTTAAGATATAAAACTTTTGACATAAGTGTTTCAATGTCATGAACTCTTATAGAACCACTATATAATAGTCTAGCAGATATACTATCCCAGTCAATATACTCTGCCTTTTTCAAAACCTCTCTGACAGTATTTTTCTTATCTAATGGTATACGTTCCATCTTACCTATAGGTATCTTTTCTTTTAACTCTTTCAATATTTTGTTTGTGTCTGGTATATGTTTGAGACGGTTCATATAGTTGTCGAAGTCATTGCATATAATCTTTGAGTCAGGAAATACAGTATGGCACAAATGGGATATATAGAAACTTCCACCGAACAAATCTACAAATGTTAGACCATTCGGTAGTTTCTTAAGTTCTCTCAATAGAATATCTTTACATCTACTCTTATTTCCAAAGAAGGGTAACGGTGGTTTTGTAAAATTCATTTTATATATATAATAAAAAATGTTTTTTCCTGAAAAGTGACAGATGTTTTATTGAGATTTCTTCGTAAAGACTTTGTTGAGATTTCTTCGTAAAGACTTTGTTAAGACTTCTTCGTAAATGACCAAAAATATATTTTAGGTGAAGAGGTGAGATTTCACCTCTTTTTTCACCTCATTTCTCACCTCTTGAATTTTCATGAATTTCTTCGTAAAGACTTTGTTAAGACTTCTTCATCTAATTTCTCATGAACTTTCTTGTCTATGTTTTGTCAAGATTTCATCGTAAAGACTTTGTTGAGATTTCTTCGTAAATGACCCTAGTAGTATATTTTTGGTGTAAATTTCATGAAAATTCAAAGAGTGAAAATTCAGAGGTGAAAAAAACAGGTGAAATCTCACCTCTTCACCTAAAATATATTTTTGGTGTAAATTTCATGAAAATTCAAGAGGTGAGAAATGAGGTGAAAAAACAGGTGAAATCTCACCTCTTCACCTAAAATATATTTTTGTCTGATTTTACGAAGAAGTCTTGACAAAACATTTACGAAGAAGTCTTGACAAAACATTTACGAAGAAGTCTTGACAAAACATTTACGAAGAAGTCTTGACAAAACATTTACGAAGAAGAAGTCTTGACAAAACATTTACGAAGAAGTCTTGACAAAACATTTACGAAGAAGTCTTGACAAAACATTTACGAAGAAGTCTTGACAAAACATTTACGAAGAAGTCTTGACAAAACATGAAAACATATATAATTTGTGAAAAGTGAAACATTATATAATGTTTTCGACCAAGAAGACTAACAATTTTCCGAATAAAAACTTCATTTATACTAAACATCTTCGGGGCTAGAAGGCACGAAGTGCCTGGAAGCCCCACTGCCCTTTTTTTTTTTTTTTTTTTTTTTTTTTTTTTTATATTCATAAAGATTTTCCAAAAATATGATACCGCAAAATTAAAAAAGTGACGTCTTGAGTGGAGTCAAAGGTCGAAATTGCTAGCTAAATGTTTTTTTAGCGAAATTGCGTATTGTACGTTTTTTTCGCAAAACGAAACCCTTAAGTAAATACTTATATTACTTCTTTTGCAATATGTAAAGATGATATATAATTAACCATTAAAAATTGTCATTTTTATCGGATAATTGAAATTTAAAAATAAACAAATTATAACACAAATCAATAATATATTTAATTGACAAATTATCAAGAATAATTGAATGATTATTTTTTGAAGTTTAATTGAAATTATTCAATTAAATCAATTATTTCAATTTTTTTCAAATGTTTTTCTTGTTTGTTCTAGCGAATTCACACGCATTTCAATGTATGCATAATGAAAATGAGTACTGGCTTGTTCCCAAAATAGATCTTGCTTCAATAAAGCATCAAAAGAGAAAATTAACAGAATCTTCATGGCGAAACATTCGTATTAAAATCGTCACAGACTTTATCACATGGGAACTCGATGATGAATTTAAATGTAAGACCGTTGGGCAAACAATTTCATGGGAGCGTGGGACACATCTATGTACGGAAGATGATTTTTTAAATGCTTCACGAAGAGCGAATCTTTTAAGGACATTGGATAATGTTAGAATATATATAGAGAAGTTACTCAAAGTGATACCCGTTACAGGATCGATTACTATGGATTCGGCTGGTTCATATACTTTTACGTATTCTCCATTGAAAAGTTATACAGGCTATGATTTAATATTACCAGTCGTTCTTAAGAATTTCGGTGGTGATAGTCCTCTTGCAATGGCTGGTCCAACTGGTTATGAAAGAACATACAAGCGTCCAATTAGTGGAATTATATACTTAAATACAAAGAAAATTCCAGATAATACACAAAGTGAGTCAACATGGCAACGTTGGTACTTCCAAGTTTTAATTCATGAAATTTGTCATGCACTTGGTGTTACTGGTTCAATGTTTTCTTGGTATCATCCTTATGAGAACTCACAACCATATAACAATCCAACATGTCAACTTACAATACACAAGAAGTCTTTCACATTCTTAACAACTCCTTATTCTCACATCTTCGCGAAGAAACGATATGGTGTTGAAACATTCTCAAATGGAACTCACAGTTGTCCATCAGGTATCGAAATTGAAGACGGTGGTGGTGAAGGCACATCTGGTTCCCACCTTGAAGGACGTGTTTTTTACTCAGATTTAATGACGGGAACTGTGATGTCTGATGCATCAGGGCCATTTCAACGACTTACAGATGCAGTGATGGCAATATTACAAGATACAGGAAATTACAAGTGTGATTGGAAATATGCACAACCACTTGTATGGGGTAATCCAGAATCAACAATTGGTGGCCAACCAATCAATGACTTTGCAACAGGTGTTCCGTCTAAAGTTTTCCCCGATCACTACATGAAGAAACCAACCGGTGACAATCTTGGTGGAACGGGTTTTGACTTCAAAACATGGGGGAGTTCGTCGAGTGTTGTGAAAGACTCTGAGATTTCATGTCCAAGTAATGACATTAAATATCAGCAATATTGTGGTCCGGCTCGTTATGAATTTTATAATCCATCAAAAGCTGATTTGCCTGCAAAGAGATATCTTTATGACTATATAAATGTTGCATATCCCCAAGATAGCTGTCCTGATGGTCAAGCAATTTTGCCTGGAGCCACTCAATTTAGCAATGTTTTTGAATTATGTGCTCCATACAAATGTAATAAATATGATAGCTTTACACTGAACGTAACAACTCTCGGAAAAACAACTATTATAGAATGTAATAAGAGCAATGTTGGTGCAGCTTTTTCTTACGAAGTGCCTTCCTCATTTATTTCATATCCAAGAACAGCATATTGTGTTCATCCAGAAATATTCTGCAGATCAGTTAAACTTAATGAAATGAATTTTGTTGCAGATCCATTCGATCCAAACACAGTCCAACTTCAAGATCCATATAAAACGCCATCTCCAACACCAAATACACCTGCGCTGAGCTCCCAAATAGAACCAACACCTGATCCAAATGAACCAAGTGAATCCGATGATTCTAAGTCAGATTCAGGTAAGAAAGGACTCTCAACCAAGATGTGGATCATCATTGGTGCATCGGTTGGGGCTGTTATTCTGATAATCCTTATTGTAACCATTATTGTGTGCAAGGTCAAAGGTAGTAAAGAGACGTCCAGTGATCATGATCAAGATTTATTTGTTTGAATTATCTTTTTTTGACCTTTTATTTAATTTATGATGCGTTAACTAAAATGAATTATGATTTATAATAAAATATCAATTATTTATGTCAAAACAAAATATCCATCTCGAGTTTTTCCATCTCATTACATGAAGAAACCAACCGGTGACAATCTTGGTGAATCAGGTTTTGACTTCAAGACATGGGAGTCTTCACCAGCTCTTATGAAAGACTCTGAAAATTCATGTCCAAGCAAACGTTTGCAGGAATCATATTAATCACTTTGAACGGCGTGTGGGCAATTTTAACGACATTTTTTAACGCGATACGAGCGTAAGTCCATAGAATGTGTTTTGAGGGAAACTATAAAAATCCAAAATAGAGGTAAGTGCGCCATTATTACCTGCGAAGTTACATGGAATAAATCGAAGAGTAAGTACAAGATGATCTTGCATCTTTCCAAGTAAATGAAATTTATTAAAATTAAGATGATAATATTCATTTATAGTATGTGTATGATGTTTTTTCAAAATTTCTTCAAATAAAATGCAGAGAGAGGGTCAAAGTTGCTATTTGTCACTTTTCCACAAGAATATAATGGGGACAAAGTTATCATATAGTTGATCTCATTCACTGAGGTGAGAGATGCGTGTAGTGTAATGGGATAAACAGTGGGATTGCTGCTCTAAGTCCTAGGTTCGAGACACATTGGCTTCATTTTTCTCTTTTTTATTGACGTAAACTATTCAATTTTTGTGTTCTCCATTCAAATTTCAGAATTTTTTTTGCAGATTTCACGCTACATTCGAAGTTACCTTTTGTAACAACCACCACTGCCTACGAAAGACGAAAGTGTGTCACGATTTCACCCGGAAATCCGACGGTTGTTTAAGAGTAAGCACTTTTGGTCGTATATTAATTTAACTAATATGAATTTGGATTGTGCTTTCCTTATTGATGTAATGAATATTTTCACTAATAAAAAATGAAATATACACAAGAAAAAAATTATTCAAAAATTATCATTGCATTTTATTTGAAGAAATTTTGAAAAAACATCATACACATACTATAAATGAATATTATCATCTTAATTTTAATAAATTTCATTTACTTGGAAAGATGCAAGATCATCTTGTACTTACTCTTCGATTTATTCCATGTAACTTCGCAGGTAATAATGGCGCACTTACCTCTATTTTGGATTTTTATAGTTTCCCTCAAAACACATTCTATGGACTTACGCTCGTATCGCGTTAAAAAATGTCGTTAAAATTGAACCGCGCCCACTTTGAACAAATCCGATTTATGCATTGAACTACACTACATAGAGATAAAATTAATAATTTTCATTTGAAATGTTGGTTATATGTCTAATTATATGGTATATAACATTTAACTCAACTTATGATAAAATAATGTTTTAAGATTAAGAAAATTTCTAACTATTTGCCCAAAGGTATGCACTACATAAACTATATCGACAAAATAATGATTTCAAATGAACATTAAATTTAAATGAATAAGAGAGAAAAAATAAGTGAAATGTGATTAAAAATACTATACTACATAGTTGCTGACTGCGTAAGGAAGTGAGATGTACTTATCAATAGCACATCGTCAAGACAAGAGTGACTGATTTGACAGAATGTAACTTTTATGACAACGATCAATTAATTTTTAATAATTTGTATACCAATATAGTAAATTTACTATTTAATCAACAACCGATTATCATAAATACAATTTTTTGTTTAAATTGAACAATTGAATTATGCAAATTTATAAAAAAAGGTTTGTTTGTTCCATTTATATTAAAATTTTTACCTTCAAAAAAATTGAATGATATTCGTCTAAAAAGATAATTTAATGAAATCGAATATTAATATGAACTCGGATATAATTTACGATACATCCCATTTGAAATTCAAAGGTTGTAAAAATTGTTGTTCGATATATTCAAGCAAATATTGTTTAATATATTGAATTGAACAAGCCATAACACTTCCGCATTTTTTGAAGGTATGCAACAAATTCAATTTTATAATGTTTTTGTTGCTTTTTTTAGCCAATTCTCATGAATTTAGATGCATGCATAATGAGAATGAAGATTGGCTCGTTCCAAAAATAGATCCTTCTTCAATAAAGCATCAAAAGAGAAAATTGCAAGAATCTTCATGGCAAAACATTCGTATTAAAATTGTTACAGATTTCATCACAGGTGAACTCGATGATGATCTTAAATGTAAAAGTATCGGACAACAAATTTCATGGAGATACGGCACAATTACATGTACAGAAGAAGATTTTTTAAATGCGTCACGAAAAGCGAATCTTTTAAGGACATTGGATAATGTTAGAATATATTTAGAGAAGTTGCTTAAAGTAATACCTGTTTCAGGCCCAATTACAATGGAGACTTCTTCATCGAACTCTTTTACATACTCTCCAAAGAAAAGTTATACAGGCTATGATTTAATATTACCAGTTGTTCTTAGGAATTTCGGTAGTGATAGTCCTCTTGCAATGGCTGGCCCTACTGATTATGATTCTGTCTATAGTCGTCCAATCAGTGGCATTGTATACTTAAATACGAAGCAAATACCAGACAATACTCAAAGCGAATCAACATGGCAACGTTGGTTCTTCCAAGTTTTAATTCATGAAATTTGTCATGCACTTGGTGTTACTGATTCAATGTTTTCTTGGTATCATCCTTATGAGAACTCACAACCATATAACAATCCAACATGTCAACTTACAATACACAAGAAGTCTTTCACATTCTTAACAACTCCTTATTCTCACATCTTCGCGAAGAAACGATATGGTGTTGAAACATTCTCAAATGGAACTCACAGTTGTCCATCAGGTATCGAAATTGAAGACGGTGGCGGTTACGGAACAGCCGGTTCCCACCTTGAAGGACGTGCTTTCTATTCAGAGTTAATGACAGGAAGTTCGATGTCTGATGCATCAGGTCCATTTGAGAGACTTACAGATGCAGTGATGGCAATATTACAAGATACAGGAAATTACAAGTGTGATTGGAGATATGCACAACCACTTGTTTGGGGTAATCCAGAATCAACAATTGGTGGCCAACCAATCAATGACTTTGCAACAGGTCCTCCATCTAAAGTTTTCCCCGATCACTACATGAAGAAACCAAATGGTGACAATCTTGGTGCCACAGGCTTCAACTTCAAGACATGGGGAAGTTGGCTTCCATTAAAAGCTGATTCTGAAATTTCATGTCCAAGCCAATTCATTAACTATCAACAATATTGTGGTCCAGCACGTTATGAGTTTTATAATCCGTTGAAAGCAGATTTTCAATACAACAAATATATTTTTGACTTCATCAATGTAACATATCCTTCCAATAGTTGCCCAGATGGTCAAGCAATTTTACCTGGAGCATCTGAGTATGGAAATGTATACGATGTTTGTGGAACATATAAATGCAACAAATATGATAGTTACACGATGAATGTAACTACATTTGAAAAAACAACCACAATCACATGCAATAAGAGCAATGTCGGTCAAGCATTCTATTATTATATTCCTGCCAGCTATGGTTATGTGTTAAGAGCAGCATATTGTGTCCATCCAGAAATATTCTGCAGAACAGTTAAACTTCATGAAATGAATTTTGTTGCTGATCCATTCGATCCAAATTCAGTCCAACTTCAAGATCCATATAAAACACCAACTCCAACACCAAAGCCAACACCGAATACACAATCTTCAGGAGACTCAACATCAAGCACAAATGGATCAGGTGAATCAGGCAACAATGACTCCAAATCAAATAATGGAAAGAAAGGAATCTCATCTAAGGTGTGGATCATCGTTGGCGTCATTATCGGTGTAGTTGTTATTATCGCCCTTATTGTCACTATTATTGTTTGCAAAGCCAAAGGCAGTAAGGAAACAGCAAGCGATGACAAAATTAATAAGGATTTCTTAGTATAAATTTAATAATTTTTTTTTGACATGCAAGCTTTATCTCCCAATTTTCTATAATAAAAAGTTAATATTTTATAAATCTCTGCTTAGTTCCTAACATGGCTATTATACTCTTTTGCCATTAGAATAAAGATATGTTGATATTATCGGAGCGTTTAAAGAATAAAAATTTTAAGTCTTCAATTTTGGTTTGGTTTAAGTGCTTCTATCTCTCAATCTAAAAAAGATTGTAGCTATATATACTCGCATGGACTCATGCATAGAATTAGTATATTTTCACTGAATGAAAACAAATCTATCTCCAGGAAAAAACCGAAAATTAGAGATTACAAAATTTTTTATGAACGACTAATGAAAGTCTCTAAATTTTAATTTTTATAGTATATTGCTCTAAACAATGTTTGTAAAATTTATTGATATGTAATGATTTCATGATATTGTGATATCAATGTGTTTTGAATTAAAATTTGCTTGAAAACTAATAATCTGGACAAAAGAATTGTGAAACAAAGTTTATTAATATTTTATAGAAGGATTATATAATAGAAATTGGTTATACTTACATTTTTGGTCAATCAATTTTGAAAACAAGAAGATTTTAACGATGCTAAAATATTAAAGCTTATAAGATATTGTGCTTATTTATGATTCTTTTTTGGATGTAATTCATGAATAAAAAAATTGATATCATTCTTTTTATTTTTTCTTTAATCATTGGAGTAAATTAAGGGTTTCGTTTTGCTAAAATTGTCACTTTTATAGCATATTTGTTTTTGGATGTTTTGCGAAACCAAAAAAAAACTATGATATACAATGTGTGTGTAAAGAAAATACTTTATTTACTAGTTAAAAAATCATTTGGTATTGATCAAGTTATTTTTTCTGGATAAGATATTATATGGATAATTGGATAGAAAATACAATTATATAATCTTGTACCTGGTTTAATTAAGCTAATTGTCATCAGAAACTTGTAATTTTTATGAATTTCAGATTTTCTTTTCATTACTGCTTTTCTTAATAGGTCAAGTTCTTATTTACGTTATAA